GGAAACGCTCGTTCTTCCTCCCGTGCTTTGTACGTGCTTGCTCGAAATCTGTGTGATGCGGTTTGCTTTTTCTCTTGTAGTGTACGGTGTGGCGGCTGGAGGGAATTGCAAGTTGTTGCGGCTGCAGCATAGCTGATTTCTTTCAGAAAACTGGTAGTTCTTGTCATTCAAAATGGGCATTTCAGTGCTCTGTGTATCAGGCCACCAACCCTGGAAATACCGTTTTTGCTGTGGACTGGGGTTTGGCTGTGAGCTTGACTTTGCCTTCTCTCTGTTGAGCTTCTCCTTTGTTAGTAAGAGTGATTATTCTTGAAATCGGTTTGCCATGTGTTGATGTGAAATATCGTTCAAACACTGAGTTAGCGCTGTTGAACAGATGTATCTGTAAAGTCTTCAGTTAAGAGCGTGAAGAATTAGTTTAAGCTGCAACCTGAAAGAACTGAGAATGAGGAAATGAAAGAGATTTGTGCTACAGGTAAGAGGAAGTACAGGTTCTGTATGTTTTCATGTCAAGTCACTTTTTGCTAACCACTTGACAGTGTAAAAAGAAAAAAAAAACCGTAAATTAATAGCTTTGGTTTTAAACACGCTTAAAGTAAAAACAGTTCTTAACTTTACAACAGAGCTCAAGCAAATGACTCCACGGTCCAGAGCTCCTACCTAATGAACTTCCCTGGCTCAAGCTCTAGTGTATCAAGAATTCTGTCCGGATCTGGCAGGATAAGGCCTGGCCTTCTCCAATTCTTCTGTAGAGTTCTGTTCTCCACCTTACTTAAGAAATGCAGTCAAGATTACAAACAACAACAGAGTTGATGATCTAAAAACTAAGTATCTCTTGCTGAGGAACGAAAATGAGAAATTCTAGTGCAAGGCTAAAATTACTGGTTTTTAGCCAAGAGATTCTTAAGTGACCTTTGGACATGAGGTTATTTACACAGTATAGTACAATGTAACCTAGTCCCATCTTTTGTTTAAAAAGTGATCTGATCTTGTTTTCCTTAAGTCAGTTGTGATTGAGGATCTCTGTTACTAGGGTTTTATTCAGAAGAAAGTAGACTCATACCAATTGTTACCTTTGGTACTGCTTGCTCCAACACAGAAAAGTAAATGTGTCTATATTACATAGGGCCTTCAGCTCTTCTCCTTACCATGTTAGCCAGCATCCCTGAACACAAACATACATGAATGGACTCTTTCAGTAGAAAACACCTGCTTCATTCATTTTTCTGAGGAAAAAAAAAAAATGAAATGGGGATGCCTTTGTCTGGGATTTTTGGTATCTTCTAGTTCTGCCTGAGTCCTTAGGAGTAAATCCAGATCCATGTTACTTCTATGATATTAGCGTCCGAGGCCTAGTAAGTTTGTCTAGAATGAGAAAAGCACCTCAAAGGAGCATGGCATTTCATTTTTGGGACTCCATCCTGTTCCTTTTAGTGGTTTGATGTTGTCAGTTTTGGTTTCTACTAATAAAAACTTCATAAACGTATATTTGCCTAAAATATGTTTGTAAAGTCGTACACAGCAATAACCCCTAAATAGTTACTGGTTAATGTTGAGCAGCTGTTAAGTGTGTCTTGTTAGCGGGCTTTCAGCAGTTCCTTTACGTTGCATATTATAGCTGTTTATAAATTAAATAAACTTACACCTCATGGTTATTGGTGACTAAGGAAATGTGGGCAAACCAGCTGCTGCTTTAACTGTGCACTTTGGAAGCAGTAGAAGCTTAGAAAAGCTCCTAACTGATTGCTGAACTGTAGGCTGTGATCCATGAAGAGCTGGCAAACCACATGGTGCCGACTCCTCTCTTCTGGTTGCATCTGTGTGTGTCTGAGGCCTTTGTTCCAAGAGGAGCTCAGAGGCCTCTAAAAGCAGCTGGAAACGAGAGGGAGACAGCCTGTGTACCTCTGCTGCAACCTGCTGTTTTCTGAAGACACATCAGTCTGCATTTTCTTTCTTAAGAAGTGACTCCTCTAACTGAGGAAAATAGGTGAGGCTAGGATAATGTGCATTATGAAGCAGTCTGTGTTTTCAGTGACAAACTTTTTCTTTTTTGCCCCTAATTTAGTCAGTATGTTAAAAACGGAACAAGGGGAAAGCAAATCAAGTCAGGATTTCAGAGCTGGCAGGGGAACAATTTTGCATGACTGGTTGTTGGAGTTTCCAAATTCAGGATTTGGAAAAATGTTTGCCACTCCAAATAACAGCTCAAAAATAATTACTGGGAGCTGTGGAGAATGTAGCAGGTAAATCCATTATTGACTTCGTGTCATAATTAGGAAATTAATGAGACTTGAAGAATCCTGTGCTTTCAAACATTGTCATGTTCAGACTGTATTTTCTAGCCCATTCCAAGTCAAATTAGACTGTTTGCACTGCAAATTACTCCCTGAAAATTGATTTGCTTTTCTCAGTGTCATTTGTCAAGTGTTAAAGGTGACCTGTAGTTGCCAGGCTGTCAAATTATATGCTGAATACTCTAAATATAGTTGTGTAGATAGTAAATCTACTTTTGCTAGGTAGAGCAAAAAAAAAAACTTTTGCTAGGTAATGTAGCTCTGCTCATAATTTTGTTTATGTCTCTACTATGGACCAGATCATACGCTACATTGAAGAGTTTAAACAGTACTTTGCCATAGGCTGCTGCCAATTTTTCTGTATTTTCTCAGAAAATGCTGCTTTAGGTAGGTTTGGAATTTCTTTTCTCTCTTTGAAGGAAAATTTTTGCCTTTATCAATGGACAAATTTGTGTTTAGTGTTAGGTTGGGCTTTTTTAATTGAAAGCACAGGATTCTTAATGTTAGTGCTTTATTAGCAGAACCAAACAAGTTGTGGTTCTGTGGCTGATGTGGACTTCATACTGAACAAAGCTAGTTTTTTATTAAATACTTGAAAAAGTCTGTGAAGTTTCCATGACAAAGTATGGACCGGCTTTCCTTAGAAAAACTTGTGTTTGTAGGTTTATGGTTGTGATACACAGTTCATAGTCAGTAAGTAGTGTACACGCTCCACAGCCAGGCCAACCGACACTAGCAAAATTAAGTTGATGAGAAAATACTACAGTTTCAGCTCTGCTGTGCTCCTGGCTGTAGAAATCAGCTGAACTTTTGAATTAAGGTTTCATGCTATTGCTTTTAGCCAAACTAGAGTGCAGAAATTGAAGTTCTTCCATGTCTGAGGATGAAACAGTTGTGGTTTGCCACCTCTTCATCATCTTTGAAATTCTAGCCCAGAGCTTAGGAAGAAGAAATAAAAATTTTTATCTAGCTCAAGAACTAAGTAATGCTTGTGGGAATAAAAGGAAAGAGAGAAGGATGAGAATAACGGCAGCGTAGTCTCTGTATATTGCAGTTAACAACTGTGAGCCAAGGTCAGTGCTGCGGCAGGTATATTGCCTAAAGTTTTGAAATGCATCAAATTCATACAGCAGAGTGTTTTCCTTCCCCCATTTTTGCTAGTGGTGTAGATCTTGCTTTCTCTCAGTTTGCCTGTCTCTTCATAGGTCTTTGGTTTAAACTTTGAACCTTGCCTAGTCTAGCCTACTTAACTTGAAAATTAGTTTAAGTTTGGCTTTAGGATGTGTTTCAGGAACATTTGACTATTCTAAAGATGCAAAATGCAGTGTAAATACTGAAAGCCTTAATAAAAAATACAACTTTTAGGTTGGGGGGGAGGGGTAGCTGGCAACACTTAGAGGAATTTGTCAAGTATATTACATGTATTTATGTGGCAATACATCCAGATCCAAATTTCTAGCTGTTACCAATAATTAATATATCTTCTATGCCTTTTTTTTGCTGTTCACAGTTATTTACTAAAATAAAATAGCATGTTAAATAATTTAACATAACTGCATGCTGTAGTGTGATGCTGCAGTGTAATCTGTCCAGGTGGATTTCTTTGTCCAGTAGGTTTTGACCTTAGGACAGTGTTGCTTGCTGAGAGGTTTTATTAGCTTGAGAGCAGGGCTCTGTCAAGAGTTGCATCCCAGGTGTGCTTGCTGACATTACAACGGAGACTGCTGCTTCAGCTGTCTTTGCAACATAGTTCTAGTTCAAGAAATGCCAAATGTTTTTTGGTTTTTTGGGTTTTTTTTTCCTAAACTTTGGGAAGGGGTGGTGGTGGTGGTATTTGGGGTGTGGGGTTTTTTTCTTCTTTTTTTTTTTTTTTTTTTTTTTTTTAATAATTACAGCTTTTGTTTTGTAGTGTTAGAGTCTGTATAATTGTAGGTTTTGAGGCATTTGCCTTTTCCTGTACCACACTTGCTTATGGGCAGTTGGGTTGTTCTGCAGGTAGTACGTTAGGCTCACCTTGTAGGCATTTCACGTATGAAAGTTGCAAACAAAAACCCTTTTCAGTTGTTACTGTTTCAGCCATTCCTGTACTTTATGTATAAACATAAAGTCCCTTTATCTGGGGCAGCTTATTCAGTGTTTCTTAAGCCAGAGTGAAAAAGGAGTTCAATAACCATGGCAGATAGCCTTTCTTCTAACTGCTTTATGACATTGTTAATAGAAGCCTTTTTCAGAAATATCTCTGTGTAAAGGGACAAGGATTTTCAGCCTTGCATCCCTCTTCCAGAGAAGAATTTTCCCTGTTGTTTTCTGAACTATATTTGCATGCTTAGCTGAACAGTTTCAAATATTTTCACCCTGGATGACTGAAAACAAGAATAATTGGAATAACAGGATAGAGGTGCAGGTTAGGTTGTTTTGTCCCCCTGCTGTGACACGCCACCACATCAGTATTGTGGAGCGATGCTTCACCTCAGTTTTCAGAAGCTATTAGTGACTGAATGTGCAAAGCTTTTATGCTTCTACCTCTTCTATAGTGCCTAAAGTTAAGTACAAATGTTTTGATGTTGGGGCTTTGGCCTAAAATGGAAAGTTACTTTGAAGATGCAATGTAGATGTCTGTCATTTTAGCTCACTTCTCTCTCTTATTTTATTATAGTACATAGTAATATCTGTTTTTGACTGTTTGATAATATTTTTCCCAAACATGTTGTCACTTAATCTTCTGAATTTAATTGCCTTATGTTTTAAAATAAATTTACTCATTTAAAATCACGTTATAGGTGCTAGCATACTTTCTGATTATCACTGGATCTGTAGTATCTATTGCCCTTGTACCTTTCCAGCTATTCAGCATCTGAAGAATGTACTGAGGCATGTGACAGCTCTCTGAGAATTGAAAGCTAATGCAGCCTTGCTGCATAGTGCCCAGTGATAATGCAGAACGGATAGCTTGCAGGTGATATTTTGGTAGATTACACTATCTGCTGTGAGTAACTCCTAAATCTTGGGTAGTGTTGGTACCTTTTCCAGTACCATGGTGTGTATACGTAACTTACATTCACACTACTGAGATGTATGAACTTACAGTTCTGTTTGTACAGCTTAATTCTGGAAGCCTGGATTTTGTCCTAATTTTGTAATCAACTTGCTTAGAAATAAAGAACTGTATCCTTTTTCATCCTTGGCATTGAGCGTTTTAAAGCACATCATCGCTTTTTGAATAATTAATTATTTCCTTTATCGCTTTAGGTATTTCTGGGAAAAGCCAGCTTCTGTTTGCACTGGTCTTCACTACGCGTTATCTGGACCTCTTCACTTCATTCATTTCATTGTATAACACATCTATGAAGGTAGAGTATACTGAAGAGTTAGAAAAGCTAGTAATGTTGCATGCAGAGTGCATAATTTCATTAAGAAAAGCCTCTTTAAATGGCCCACTGCACAGTTATTGCAGAATAAGTTCTAGATGGGCTATGGATAAAGAATGTGGAAAGTGGACTCAAACCCCTACTTTTTTCTACACTCTACATGCAATTTCTAAAAACTGTTTGTATGGGACTGTGACATGTCGAACAAATGCCATTTTGGTTATTGAAAATAAAAGCTTTTGGAAAAATGCTTCAAATAAATTGTATTTCTCAATTGAGACATTAATGCTTAAGTAAATCTCTTTTTATCCACTACAGAGCAAATTAGTATTCAAAATGCATTGCCAGAATTGTAGCTAGTGTCTGGTCAGGGGCTGATGAAAAGTTGACAGGAGTATGCTTTTAGGAATCTAGCTTCCATTAGATTATACCCTGTTCACTTGCCCACTAAATGTTAGCGAGCTCAAATTTGTTTTTGTTATTTATTCCTGCAATTTCTGGTGCTGCATACAAGAAAATAAAGCAGTAAACCGGCAGAGTGCAGCATGTTTGTGGCGCCAAAGTGGTGCATTTGTGGTACCAGAGCAGACACCTTTTTAATCCCGTTCCTTTATTCTTGGATTTTCTTGATGCTCTTCAACTCTAGTTCAGAGGCTAGTATAACTTGGCTAAGAGGAAAGACTAGATAGGAAAAACTAGATAGTCAATAATGCAAAATGTACTGAAGAATTAGGGGAATAGTACTGTAAAATAAAATTTTAGATCTTAAACCCACTCACATTACTGTCTTTAACAACTCAAACGTGTATGCTTAAGTTTTAATATTAATAGTCTAGATGAAGAACTGAGGATTAAGTAAAATATTATTGAAACACAAGCTTTTTTTCCTACGTAACTTCTGAGAATATTGAAAGCTACTGTTGGGCTCACTAAAGGAGCAGCTAGGTTTTTTTGCAGTTTATGTATTGCTTGTGATTCAGGGTCATGACCAGGTCTTTATTCTGCAGCCCTCCTACCCAGAAAAGGAATTAATATAGAAAATGGCACTTATGATACTCAACTTTATACTAAACTGAGTCTTTCCAGTAATGAAAGAGTGGTGCTCTGTTCAAATCCAATCTTAACTTGCAAAGTGGAAACTTCTGATAGAGTTTCAAAGGTTACTGCCGAGAGAGACTGTTAGATGGAATTGGCTTTTCAAAAGCCCATTAGTGTAGTGCCAAGACAAAGCTGCTTGAGTGTCCCAACACAGCTGCTTGTTCTATCTGCATATATTTAGGAGTATATAGCGTTATGCAGTTGTAGAGAACATGAGCTACTATACAAATAAGCTTACCCAGGGCATAACTAAATGAACTTTCTAGTCTGAGGAAAATGCTGTAATTGGCAGCAAAAAAAGTTGTTAATTTCTGTAGAGTTAGGGTTTTCTTTAGTATTTTTAAAGAAATATTAATTAAACTACAGGTGCCAACTTGATGTATTTGTCTGGCAATGATCATCAGATATTTAAGAAAACTAGTTTCTTCTGTGTTCCAGGAATATATACAGAAATACAGAAATTGGCACTATCTGCTTGATGACCTGCAGACTTCAATTTTTGTAATTTGTAGCATTCTGTATCTTAGAGTTTATTTTTCATGGTACTTGTATCTGAATATTGGATGCATTTCTGCTGGTGCACTCTGCAGTCCTTTTTCTACCATTCTTTTACTTTATTTTGATATCTTTAAAAATGGGAAGTTTTTGAGTGTCCCAAAACACACTGTAATTCTTATGAAGAAATCTTGAATAAGGAGTTGGGCTTCATTCACAGTTTCTTAGTGTCTTCTATGAACATACCGATTTACACCTGCAGTAGAGATTCCCTGTATCTGATACCCTGTCCTGTGGTCCTTTATCTCCAGTCAGCCAGGGTGCTAGTGTAGTAAAGAGTCTGGATTCTGAGCTCCTTAATATAATATTTGCAGCATTTTGTATCTGTATCTGCGCTTTTGGTGATTAGTAGCATCTGCAAACAATGGGGTTTGAAATCTGTTAGTCTTCTGTTGTAAAGAACCCATATTTACTGTGAGAAATGGTTTGGAATATTTGATCTTTGTGATGAAACTGAGGCAGAAGCTAAACTATTTGCCTAGTCTACTGTACTATGTTGTCTCCGGGACAATGTGAGCTCTGTCCTGATGATGGCAGATTGACCTTTAGAAAGTCTCTGATGCTGTTTTCTCATCTGTAAAGTAAGGCTATTTGCCTATTCCACAGGGAATAGCTATGAAGTCTACTGTACCATAACAATTAAAAATGGTAACATGAGAGGTCAACTGAAATTGAAACTGAATTCTGGTTCAGTGCTTCTAGCAGTCTGTTAGTTTTGCAGGTTTTGTGGCCTGTTGGTTGACGGAGAGCACTGGCCACTTGCCACACTCCTCAGGTTTTAAAGATGTCTAAGTCAAATCAGCTAATTTGTGGTAAGTTGAATGGCTGATTCCAAACGGGGCTTATTGAATAGGTTTTCAATTGCATATGAGCCACACCACTCCCAGGCTTTTTGAATGTAAAAAGACCCCTTCCATCATTACTGCATGTATGCATGTACATATTTTTAATGTAAATGTTTGGGCCAGTGCTTCTCCTGCAGCAGCAGAAGGGGTATTGCTTCTCTGGTCAGTTCCTTAGTTCTGTCTACTCTGGAAAGGGTCTTTAAAGAAACTTTGGGCAGTCACTTCAACCAGAGGCAAGGTGATGCTTTTAAAGCAACAAGACCAGTAGAGCCCAGAGTCATTGGTCTAGAATTATTACTCTGCTGAGAGATGTTAAATACCACCACGTAGCCTGGAACTGCAAAGGCATGTAAACAAACAATACAAACAACCAAAAAGATGGCACTTACTTCTCTTAGTGCCTGGGAATATCTTTGTTCAGTGAGTTTGATCTAATCATGTAACCTCTCTGGGTTTTGTTTTTTCTTTCCTTGTTCTTTAGCTTATCTACATTGCTTGCTCATATGCCACTGTGTATCTGATCTACATGAAATTTAAGGCCACCTATGATGGAAACCATGATACATTCAGAGTGGAGTTTCTGATAGTTCCTGTTGGTGGACTCTCATTTCTTGTCAATCATGACTTCTCTCCTCTGGAGGTGAGTTGGTTGTGGGCAGGAGGTTGTACTTTTTTCTCTAAAATATTTAGAATATGAAGATGAGCGGTTTTTGGCTGACTGAGGAATGTTTGAAAAATGCCTGTGTTTAGTAGGTTGAGGCTAATCCTGTTTCCTTAATACATCTTTACAATGTAGATTTCTGTGAAAATTTAAGGCACTTCAGGAGACGAGCATTATTATCAACATTGATTATTTTATTAAGCAGAAGACGATCTTTTTTCCCATTATACTGATGGTTATATTATTCAAAACTATCCTTCCTTTTGTTATGATTGTTAAAGAAATGCCCCAGAATGCAGTTTGTGAATAGTTGGTGCCACCTGGTGAAAACAAAGAATTATAATGCTTTTGTAGAACAGCAAATGGTCTAAAGTATTAGAAAGAATTGCATTGTATTTGAAATGCAGCTGTGTGTTTTCCTATCAGAAAAAATATATTAAAAATGTAATTATAGAGTTCAAACAGGTTATTTTTCCCACAAAATAGATAATAACTTTAGATGCTTGTTTTAAGTGAACTGAGCTGCATTGTTATATTTATTGGAGTTAAATGATTTTATTAGAGAGTAAAGGGATTTTAATTGCAACACTTTGAGACATTATTTTAAATTTTGTTACGTATTAACTAATTCTTTAAGCCTATAGATTAAAAAAGTTGAAAGAACGTGGGGGAAAAAGGATCCTGCAGCTTTTTACAGCACCAGCTCTGTAAGCTGTATTTCATGGTCCTGTGAATCCTGAACTGATGGGTGGATTCTTCACGAGTAAACCTATGCCTGCCAGCTGGCTCGGCAGTTGGTTTGGAGAGCCTGTTGTCTGCCAAGAGGGTTGTTCCCTCGTACCGTCCTGTGGTTGATTTTGAAGCTTTCACTTAGTTTTTCCTAATACCAAGGGTAGTTTGCCAAAATACTGTACCTATTCATAACATTGTTAGGGAGTGAAAAGTCAGGCCAAGTCAAATACCTTCTGTGCTTCTGTTATCAGTAAGATGGTTGAATATGCCTGTGTGGTTTTGTTGTTTTTTTTTTTTTTTTCCTTTCAGATACTGTGGACCTTCTCCATCTATCTTGAATCGGTTGCTATTCTCCCTCAACTTTTTATGATCAGCAAAACTGGGGAAGCAGAGACCATCACTACTCACTATCTTTTCTTCTTGGGTCTGTACCGTGCCTTGTACTTAGTCAACTGGATTTGGCGCTACTATTTTGAGGGATTTTTTGACCTCATAGCTGTTGTTGCTGGTGTGGTCCAGACCGTTCTTTACTGTGACTTCTTCTATTTGTATGTTACAAAAGGTAAGTAGTGCTATCACTTCCAGCTTCAGGTTGTGGAATGTAGCAATTAACACATTTATAGGGATCTGCTATATCGACATTACTAAGTTGTTAATTCTGTGTGCAAATTATCGCTGAAAGCTTCTTGATAGATTTATCAAGTACAATTTCTGCTAGTGTGGGGCATTTGGGGGGATTGTTTTGCATATGGGTAGAATATAAATGTATAAATGGTCTGATGGACTTAATTGACAAATTTAAAATAAGTATGGCTAAATACATGCTGCTGTTGTCTTCTGTCTGTAAGCATAATCCTCATGCTTCTCCTGTTTTGTGCACATTCCATGATTACAGACATCTTTCTCAGTGTTCTAAATAAGAGTCCAAAGAACTTTGGATGTTTCTGTTTATGCTAAGTGTAGAAGCAGTCATTTCTGCTGGGTGCATCAGTAATTCTGCCCTTATTCATGTTCCAGCTTCCATTAGTTAACTACAAAGCTATATGGGGCTGTGTTACTTTATTCATAACTCTTGAGAAACCATGGTCATAGGCTAGTATGCCTTGAGGATGAAAAGTGAAAATTCCAGGGTGCCACAAGAGGGCAGGATTGGGATAGTTGTTAATTTATCATCGGTTTTTTACCAGTATGTATTGAAGAGAGAGGCAAGTTTGGGAGGACTGTCTGCAGTGCACCCATTTTGTAAAAAAGTGACTCTGTGTGATAGGTTTTGGTCTCTTGAGGTTTCAACAGTGTGTGCTTCTCGCAGATCACATCTTTTGTTTTGCTAACTGTTTTCTTTCCAACTTTTCCTTACAGTACTCAAGGGAAAGAAGCTCAGTTTGCCAGCGTAAGTGCCAAAAAAAACATCACCAGCATCTGTCCTTTTGGATGCTTGGACAGAACAATCCTTATCACAAGCAAAGGTGAAGATGCTTGAGACAGAAAGTCAGAAACACAGCTCTTTATAGCGCAGGTAGTCATCAGCGGCTCTGTAAGAACGGAGGAAAAACAACCAGCAGATTTCTGTTTGATGCATCTTGCCTTTATCTTTTTTATTACTATGTATAAAGATTTTTTACATAAAGAAACTTATACTGTATTAATAAATTCAGTGTATGGTTTCAATTGGAATAGTTCCAAAAGTGAGATTTTTGTGGGATTGTTTATGACCAGGAACAAGTGCAAACTTTTTTTTATTTTCAATAATTTCTTTGAAATGACTGATTTATTTTTTTTTCTTTTTTTTTTTTTTTCAGTGCACAGATATGTGCATCCTTGATGGATGGTAGTCATCTGTTCTTCCCCTTTGATTCAATTTTCATTCCACTGTATTTATTTTTTTCCAAAAGGTGAATATATGTCAACTCTAAATCTTGAAACCACCAATGTTTGATGTGATGTGCTGGTGCCCCAGTCTTTGTGCCATCTGCTGACATGGAGTTCCTATTTAAAATAGATGTTGATGCCAGAAGGAGAGCAGTCACATTCTGTAGTTGTTCCCCTTCTAAAACAGGCTGATGGCAAGAGAACAGTAAGGAAATCTCAGGGTCACAAGGATGGGCCCTTTCCTGTTTTGCCTTGATGTTTGGGAAGGTAATCCCAATAACGAAAGCACTTGGCAGCGCAGGTCATGAAGGGTTAGAGATCTGGTTGTGTTGCTTAGTGGCAAATGTTTGTGACTGTGTGCTTTGTTCGGGAGGAGAATGTTAAACATCTTGGATGTACAGCCCTGCTACACCATTGCAGCTATAGAAATGGGAGACTTGTAAGTTGTTGATTACAGTAATCTGTAGGTGATCATTTTAAACAATACATTTTCTTTTTAATGAATGCTTTATAAGCAACTTCCATGTTCAGCTTCAAGTGGTTTTTGATGTCACTTTTGGACAATTAATATTTTTTTTTATAAACTTTTCAAAATCAGCAGCACCAGTTACCATTCTTTATCCTTTAGATGATTCCCTTTTTTTACTGAGCTGTTGCATGATTTATCCTGTGTTACCATCCTCAATAAACACTTTATGAAATGGTGAAAATGTTGGGGTTTTTTATTTCTGAATTAAAGTTTTGTTAGCCTGAGACCGGATGAAGAGTTGTAGTAAGGACGAGTTGTTTAATGCCATTGTTTGCTCTTTTGAAATGGGAACTTTTTAAGGCTATGAGGGGCACTGTCACTGAGTTCTGCCTCTTCTGTAAGAGCTCTGTCTCCAGCCTAGGGCGGATGAGGGTTTGGTGCTCATCTCTGGGTTTTGTTCCATTTTTGAGAAACCATTTATCTTCTCTAACTTAGGTTACCATCGTTATCCCCCTGGTTAGTGATGGTTATCATTCCTAACCCCAGCTGTGAATAGTGTGCTTTATCTGCAGAGCATGCATGCTAAGATGCTGCAGTCTAATGCTACTCTGAGTATCCCGTTGCTGTTCAGAGCTGCTTGAAACCAAACTCTGTCCCTGCCATGACCTACACGAGCCTGATGGTAGTTGTAGCCCTAGAGCTACACGAGGTCTGTGCTGGTTAGAGAGCTCTTCAGAATCTGGGTAGGTTATTTCCTTCCATGGTGTTGGCTTTGCCCTTCACAAAGCGTCCCTCTGGGATGTCTTGTCCTGGTACGTGCTCAGAAGCGCGCAGAAGGAGCACGGGGGGCTGTGCTCGGGGGCTGGGAGCAGGCAGCAGGACTGGGGTAGCAAAAGCCAGCAGCTGCGGCGGAGCGCGAGCAGCCCTAAGGGCAGGCGTCAACCTGGCGGCTTTCCTTTCGCTGCAGCTGTTACCCTTTTTTGACGGTTTTCTGGTGCCCGTCTGTGACCCGTGGTGGCCGCGGTGCCATCCTTTGGGTGTGCCGGTGTTATGGTCAAACACTGAGACCACTACTTCATAAGTCCAATCAAGGGTTTATTTAAAGTGAAGGAGCAAAAGCAGCGCTGGGCGGCCGGGGAGTTGCAGCTCCACCTAGGCGCGCCAGGTCACATCCTTTTGGCCTTTATTTATACAGAGCTAGTTTACATATTTATCATGTTTCACAACTATTACATTAATATTTATCACCCCTTGTTCATCTCATATTTAAATTTTCTTCAAGCAGGTGTTCCTCCTCTTGAGCGTGCGCAATGGTGGTCGTTAGGGGTTGTTTTGAAGGAAGGCCGCGGGTCCCTCTTTATCATCTTGAGTAACCTTGGCTGCAGCAGACCACAGGACTGGGCTACATGGCATAGTCACGCCGGACCACAGGGCTGGTTTTAACCGATATTATATCCTTTTTCTAGTATATACATTCCTAGCATATGCAGCCC